CCGTCATTTTGGCTCCCGACATATAGTCTCCCGTCATTTAGTTTTTTCCACAAAACGGCCCCCGTCATTACGACTCCCGACAAATAGGCTCCCGCCATTTAGTTTCTCCACAAAACGGCCCCCGTCATTACGACTCCCGACAAATAGGCTAGCGTCATTTTGGCTCCCGACAAAAAGGCTCCTGTCAATTTGGCTCCAGACAAAAGGACCACTGACACAGTGGCGTAGCTACCGTAAAGCCCTTTTCCCTCATAAAAAATTAAAACTTTTACAATGGAATTTTAATATTTGTTACATATAAATAATTTTAAAAAAGAAAAAGGTTAAAAGTTCCAAAAAGCCCCCCCCCCCCCCCACCCACCGTTTCGGCAGTGGGATTCAGTGTTTGTGGGTCAAACAGAGCCCAATCGTTATAATAACACTACAGGCTATATCACTTTGTCGTGCAAGACATTGAGAGAATCAGCCTATAAATAAACTTTTTAGCAGTAGTAGGCAAGCATAATAATACAGTATAAATACAAAATCAGGACATATAAAATACAAAATGTTGCCTTCAGAATATTTATATATTAAAAAATATCCATCGTAAGTAGAAGTTGATCCCTTCGTTTAACTCCTCTGTAGCCTAACGCAGAGGCGTAGCGAAGGCGAGGCGGGGGGTGCGGACCGCAACGGGTGACACCATTTAGGGGGGGGGGGGTGACACCAAAGGCAAAAAATTGAAAAATTTATAGAATGAAATGCCATTTTCCAGATCCATTAGTTAAAGTTAAATAGTCTTCTAAGTACAAATCGAAAATTATATCAAGAGGGGGGGGGGGGGGGGGTGTGACACCACGACGTAAACGTAAACTATAAAGAAAACAATGCTACATCCAACTGTATTATAAACAGACTGCAGATAAACATCGTTACTATTAAGTCAGCAGTGATTAATATATATATATATATATATATATATATATATATATATATATATATATATATATATATATATATATATATATATATATATATATGCTTTGTTTCCTGGGAGGGGGTGACAATACGAAGTGCCGCACCGGGTGAGACCCGACCTAGCGACGCCACTGGCCTAACGGCTGACGAAGGGGCCCACTGATAATTTTTGTATAGGGGCCCAAAAATCCTAGCTACGCCACTGCACTGACAATACCGTTTCTGTAGAGACTAAGTCTCCCGGCAAAGCGGTCTCATTGAATATGACACCTGCCAGTGGGACCCCTTCATCAATATTCTTTAGAGTTAGCTTATCCAACACTCTTATGTAATACAACGTATGCATCTCTTGTTCGGCAGGCCTTATTTTTATATTAGTTTATCTATTATAAAATATAGTATGTTTTAATTTAAGGGTCATCTATCTATGACATCCATAATTGAGTCGGTTATAGGCTGTTCCAACTCATTGTGTGGGGAGAAGGGTCCACGCTGTACCTTCCTAACTGCAATATGCTTGTACAGGGGCGTAGCGAGGGGAGGGGCAGGGGTGCGGATCGCACCGGGTGACACCATTTAGGGGGGTGACACAAAGGCAAAAAATAGCAAAATATATAGAGAAAAAGTTGAGGGGGTGGGGGTGCAAATCGAAAGTTTGGGGGGGGGGGGTGCAAATAGAAAACTTGAAAGTTTGTCCCCGGGAAGGGTCGCAACGCCTCTGGGGGGGGGGGGTGACACCATTAAGTGCCGCACCGGGTGACACCCGACCTCGCTACGCCAATGTGCTTGTAGCTTATCAAAACAACCACAGTTTGAGCACTGAGCACTCACGGGGTGATACTGAGTACCCACTGCTAAGGCTGAGTACCCACATCAACGTTATCGATTACCAACAGCTCCAGCGCTGAGTACCCACAGCAGTGACACCAAGAACCGACTGCAGTAACACTGAGTACCCACAGCTTCAACAGTGAGTACCGACAGCTTCAGCACTCAGTACACATGGCTTCAACACTCAGTACCCACTGTTTCAGCACTGAGTACCCATACCAGTGGCAATATGTAGCTACAGCATTGTCATTGGTAATCAATATCAGAATCAGTCGAGAACAATAGCACGAATCGGAAACATAGGGTACCATCAACAATAGCAGTGAGTACCCACACCGGTGGCACTGAGTACCCACAGCTGTGACACTAAATACCCACAGCAGCTGCATTGAGCATGGACGAATATACAATGGCTGAACACTGTCATTTAGGACAGTATTTGTTCACGTGCTTTGTGTGTATAGCAAATATAGGTCGAATGAGAAATATGCGTCTTTATTAGTTGACCTTGAATAAGAGTTCACGAAAATTACGTAACCGGGGACGTCTAAGACTCTACACATTGAAGGAAGTCCTTTCATATGTAGTGTGTTACTGTAGTGTAGTAGAATTACGACAGCAAGACATCAAAATACCTATTCATAAGAGTTAGTCAGTGAGCAGGTGCAGCAGAGTTATGTAACTCTATGCCTGAGCTAATAAAGTATAGTTTTCATGAGTTTTGCAAGTGATTCTACATCTCCTTGCAAGTCCGTATGTTCAGTTTGTGATATTTTATTGTTTGTGCATGGATATTTAGAGAAACACATGACAGTAAAAATAGTAAAATGACCCGGACTAAAAAAAAATTAAATTACTGTTTGGTCAATAAGTGCCTGATGTCGCGTTTTCGCGACATACCGTAATTATCATCAAAAATAAGTCAAAATTTAAAAACAACTATATACCTCAAATTCAGTGTCAGTATGATGAGAGAAAATCAGCACAAATAATTTTTTACACGCTTGGAACATAATTCAGGCATTAATATTTTGTTAAAAATTAAGTTTTGCATTTTACTCAAATTGTAAAAATTAATTGCGAAAGTAATTCATTATAATATTTGATTGATACTATTAAGAAAACCCTTGCAGTTCTAATTACCGTGCGAGTAATAAGTTTGCGAATATTCCATCAATATATGAGTAGCATTAAATTACTTCACTGTATAAATTTAGGCCCTAAGCATTTAACATAGCAGCCAATCACCTATTAATTAATCATTCAATTGCTCAATTTTTTTGAAAACCTAAGCGAAGCTAGGCAGTATGCCTAGTATATATATATATATATATATATATATATATATATATATATATATATATATATATATATATATATATATATATATATATATATTAATTTTGAATGTGACCTCTGACCGCGAACAGCGGATCCATGATTCCTATGAAAGAGAGGGAAAAATAGACTTCATAGCCATAGTATGATGTACCTAAAGTGCTCATTATCTAAATTAATAATGTAAAAAAATTATATTCATTTTCCAAACTTATAGTGTTAATTAAAGAAAATGTATCATCATTCACAAAAACTCTAATTGTTTCTTAAATTGTTTACCTTTAGTTCTTTAGCACTCATAACATCCCTTTATAAATTAGGAAAACACTGTTACGTCCCTTTTAAAAAACAACATTTACATCGGGGGAATAAAAATTACTTTTTATTACTTTGTTTTGGTTTTGAGAAAAAAATAATTACAAAATTACCGTTTGTATTTGTGTTTGCGTTTGTGTAATGTTTGCGGTTAATTGTGTGTTTTTGTTTTTGGTTGGTTTTGGATAGGATTTATTATAAAAGTAATATACCTCCTAAACCAGGGCTTACTAAACACACAGGTTATGGTGCTTTACAATTAGGATTTTTTTAAGGCTGGTATCGAGGGTATAGAGGACAAACGCAGTATGTCAAAAAAAACATGATCTCGAGAAAAATGGGTTTATTAAAATAGTGCAAAATATTATATTTAAAAAATTATAAAATATTTGCATTCTAGTTTTCTTAGACTGCGCATTAGTGTTCTTGTAGCTCGTATTATTGACAGTATCAATATAAATGTACATCGATTTGACAAAAAAGTGGACATACTGCATTTGTCCTCTATACTCTCTCTCTCTCTCTCTCTCTCATTCTCTCTCTCTCTCTCTCTCTCTCTCTCTCTCTCTCTATATATATATATATATATATATATATATATATATATATATATATATGTAACTAGTGTAGTTACTAAAGACGATAAGAACGCAATACAGTCTGTCAACTAAAGACACGATCAAGGCCAAACTGGGCTGATGCAACGGATGCAGGTGGTGTGGACTGATAACGAATACAAAGCCACGGCGTAGTTGGGAAGCGATACGACAGAACTGCGTAGTTCATAGTTATGATGCAACGGATAGAAACGATTACGAATACGGGGGATATAATAAGACTGCAGGACAGAAGAGCAGATGAGAAGTTGAAGCCTGAACTGTAGATACGTGTTGTAATTTGTGAGGACAGTTGAGAACAGAAGTTGAAGACTGAACTGTAGATACGTGTTTAAGTTGTGAGAATAAGTTTGGAAGCCTGAACCATGGACACGTGTATTCTGATATGTGAGGACTAGTGAGGACAGTGGGGGTCAGTTGGTTCATTGTATTCTTGTGGAACATTGATGCATTGCTATGTGGAGCATTTCTATTGATTCATTTAATAAAGAGATAAATGTAAACCTGCACTTCCGAGTATCTGTATTGTGGTTGATGTTGTGTGCTGGTCAAAGATAGCACAAGTAAATAGACTCGGTAACATTTGGCACTGCGAGCAAATACACTCGGTAACATATATATATATATATATATATATATATATATATATATATATATATATATATATATATATAACTTATTGTATTCGGGAGGTTGACACCATGAGGTCCCACACCTGGAGCCCCCAACCCGAAGAAAGTTTACCGCCCCCAAACCAGATTGAATGTATATAGTAAATATTTACTTTTGCTAGTGTCCGTCCCGCCCCGTCCCCCCGGAAAATGTAGACCGCACCCCCGAAAATATCAAGCGCCAGAAAAAGTCTGGAAGAAACACTGATGACACCCGACCTCGCGACGCCACTGCTTTAATCTAAAATCAATATCACTTCTTTGAATTTTACTGATGGTGTTCAGACAATACCAAACCTTTTGGAAGGAGATTTTGTATCATATTTCCTGTAGCATTTGCCACGTAGGTGTTGATTGGTTCCTCTGGTCCCCCAGGGGCAGACAAGTCAATGTTACCAGCCTTGGCGAAGTACTTGCTCTCAACATCAGCCACAAATTGAGGCACGATTTCGTATGCAGGGTTCACAAAAATGGCGTTTCCTGTGTTTAATTTCACATCCGGTACAGAGTTCATCTGTCGGTGTTTTGAAGCAAAAAAAGCATTGTAATTAATTAATTTACTTGGCAGTTTTACTTTGTAATTTTAAATTAAATGGCGTATTACGTAACAAGAATTGAATGCAACTATTGGCGTTGCATCAAAATTGAAAAGTGCGGCTCTCTTCTGAAATAACCAAACTGCTATTTATGTTTAAGAGAATGAGTAAAGTATCTTATTTGAAAGCAAATTACAGGAATACATTCGATTATGTGAATAATTGATAGAAACGTATATGCAACTGTTGTAATCTTACATCCGAAATAAGTTTCTTATAAATCTCATGAGTATTGTCAGCAAGAGATGTAATCCCAAGCGCCTGTTTCATTTCTGTAGCTGTTTTTCCTCTGGCGCCTAATGACGTCATTGCCAATACCGAATGGACGCTAAAAATAAACGCGTAAAATAAACGTTTTGTGCATTCAATGACATAATAATAGTATATAATTATAAAAATATTATAATTTACTTAATTTCATTTTCGAGTAAGTTAATACTGATTTTAGAAAGGAGCTCATAACTAGGTAGATTATGCGAATGAAATTAATCAATCAAATTCTATTTATTTTTTTTAAATTAAGAATAAAGCATTTAAAAATCTATTATAACAACAAAGGTGAAGTTGTCAAAAATAAATTGATAGAAACATTTTTTTTTCAGAAAAAGTACAAAGCCCTTATTTAAGGGAAAAAATGTTTAGCACTTCTAATGACGTTTTAAAATTTAGAATGTATCTTCTTTAGCAAGACCAACGTTTAAAATTATAAAATCTAGATTCCAAAGAAAAAAGTATATATTTAAAAAATATGGTACGTCTACGTGTAAGATAGAATACGCCCGCGAAATAAAAATCTACGCATTGAAACTAGAATCTAACTGGTAAAGCAAAGGTATACCTGTAAGGTGAGTAGACCATACTTGGTAAGCCCAGTGCCACTTTCTGGTACAGTCTCTGGGAGAATCCAGAGGTCGCTGCCGACAAGTCCCGTTGGTCATCTAGGTAGTCCGCCTTGACAAGGTGACCAGCAATGGCCAGTACAAGTAGAGCGAGAAGCATTGTGTTCATCTGTTTTGTTCACGTGTTGTAAAATACAGAAATAACAAAACAGTTTACACGTTTTTAATAACTTACAGAGCATTAATCTTATGACCAAAAAATCTGAAAATTAACGCGAAAACAATGTGTTTAGACTAGTTAATATAAATACTACTGCTAAAAGATTTAGATAGTTTTGCGAGAGATTAGACCAAAACGTACTCGACTTCTCAAGCTGTGGTGACCGAATTGTTTCCTTAGTCAAACGCCGTTAAGCTACGTGGCCGATACTAATTAAAAAAAGGAAATTTCTAATTTTAAACAAGCTAATTAGTTATTGATTGTTATCTTGTTTAGTAAAGAAGATTGATTATCACGCGCGGGATTTTGTTGTATATAAACTCTAACCCTCACAGCAATAAAAAAAAATAAACAAACAAAAATACACCCAAATCCTTACTACAAACGTAAACTCAAACATAATCACAAACACAACACAAACACAAACAATAAAAAACATAAACATAAACTTAAGCATACACACAAAACCCCATCTCAACCAAAAACTTAAACATAAATTTAAACTTTCTCCGTTCCCCGCACTTCTAAGCCTAATAAAATAACCACATAAACACAAACACAAAAAAAAAAATTAGCATCAACATTAACCCTAACCTTCTCCACAACCTCAACTACAAACATTAACATAAACATAAACATAAACACTACACAAACACAAACATAACCACACATTTGAATATTTTCAATGTAATTTTAATTTATTTGACTTAAACGGAAGTAATTTGTACAATTTTTAGAAATGTTTTTTTTTTTAATGACAATATATTTAGGTTTATTTTGTTCTTTGAACTTTACGTTAATTACAACCTTATGTTGAAAACTGAAGACGGCGCCAAATCACACACAACCCAGGGCGCCAGAGGACGCAACAGAGTATAGTAGTCCGACATATCCTCTCAACTCGTGTAATTTCTTTGTACTGCCTATTTTCTTATAGAGGGTTCGAGGTAAAAGCCAGTTGTTCTAGGCATAACATCGACTATATAACTTACTAGACTACCCGTCATCCCCTGGATAACTGTGGGTTTCGGGGGTCATCCATAAAAAAACATCACGTCTGTCATTTATTGTCACAAAAAACCAGATCCCACATTCAAAAAGATGTTTTTTATCTTTTAAAAATACCGATTTCGGACTATCCCTTCATATACTGACGTCACAGGTGACTTACTCAACTCTACTTCACCTGCCCAGTGTCCCGCCAAGTCTCAGACAACATGTTTTTATCGTTTTAAAAAAACGATTCCGGCCGAGCATGTCTCTGACCACACTATCCCTTCATATGCTTAGGACAAAGAAACGGATGAACTCTACATCACCTGCCCTGTATCCCGCCAAGTTCAGATAGGCAACTTTATCATTCACATCTAAAAAATTAAAAAAAATTAACATTGACGTGACGTGTCTAGAACCCGTGCCACCCGCATGAAAGCCTATTACACTAACAAATTAGCTATTTAGACTCGTGACGTCACTGATGTTTTTTACGGTATAGTTTAATACTTTGAGTCTCCTTATGCAACTTGATTTACGCGCATATTCCCTATCTAGATCTAGATCTAAGTCTAGTAGTAGTAACTTTCAAATTAAATTAGCCAATGACATAGCTAAACAAACAAAGATTTATCTAAAATAATGAAGGTCTGAAATTATCTAGATCTAGATCTAGATTCTACGACTCGTTTGCTTAAGTCTTAAATCTAGTTTTTGCGTAACTCTTGCTAGATCTAGATTAGACAATCATATTCTAGATAGATCTAGATCTAGATTGATAAATCACAAAGATTTATATCAAGCATTTAAGGACTAAAAATGTATTTTGATTTTAAAATGGATTGTATTTTTATCTAATTTATATTTATTTTGTATCTAATTAATCTTTGGTTTGACCTAGATTCTAGATCTAGATCTATAAATAACTTTCTTGGCCACCTGATATTTAGATCTATAAATAACTTTCTTGGACAGATTGTAGAACTAGAGAAATTTATTGTAAAACTAAATAAAAAAGACAGTTGAAAATTTATATAAGTGTTGGAACGTAATAAATACAGTAAACTGACGTATAGTTAAAGCTATAGCCGACAGAAAATTAGCTTTAGAACGAGTTAAACATTGGAATGGGAACACCATCTTCTTCGATAGAAGCCGCCATTTTATTGTACTAAAAAGTAAACAATTAATGTGACGTCACTATTCGGTCAAAATAAAGCTATTGTTTGAAACTTTTAACATTAATGTGGTTAATCTACCAATGAATAAATCAGTAATTTAATTAACGTCTTTAAATAAATTTGTGAATAACAGTCTGTCTGAAAAGAAAAATTGTTCTCTACCTACATACTATTTTACAGGTCTATACATATGGCAGATTCTTTCCTGTAGTAAATCAGACAAATAAATAAATATTCAAAAATGTAAACAAAGTTGAGTTTTAGTAGTATAGAGATTGCATTGGCCAAAGGGTATAAAACAGAAAGCTTTTGCTTGCCAGGGACCTTATTAATGTGGTATATAAAATATGCTGAAAACACATTTTAAACACACACACACACACACACATACACACAAAAACACATACGTCTGTGGCCTAAACCTATGTAGGCTAAAGTGTAATCTAAAGGGTCAATTAAAAAGTTGGCCAAAGTATGCCTGCTTTGTAATATTTAGATGCACATAAAATGTAACATAACAGTTTAACAGACACATCTGCCTATCTGTTTGATTATCAGATTTAACTGATAGTAATTTTATATCGTACAGACCGTCAGTCTTATCTCCTTTCATTTAATTACAATAATTTGAAGGATTCAACAGTTACAGTAAATGTATTTGCTTTATTTAAACCTATGTACATGTCCTTACAGTCACAGTTTAATTTTTCGTGCCTATCAGGAAGTAAATTACATTCCTTTTTTATGTTTCTCTATTTTAAAAGCTTTCTCGCTCTAAGCCTAATGTTTCACAAAATATCTCAAAAACTTTATAGTTAATTCTCTCAAATCCAGCCGTCATTCTTAAAAGCTATCTAATTCCTTATGTTATCTAAAAATAGCTCTGTCGTAGCGTAAATCAAGAGCAGGGTTAGTAAAACCATTGGTTAAAATACATGTTTTATTTACAATAGAGTTACATGACTAAAAACCATTGCGCGCCTAGCTACTGAACGTGATGACGCAGCCATTGAACGTGATGGCGCAGCTATTGAACGTGATGACGCGTGTGGTGTGGTTGGATAAAAATGCCTACTAATTCGGTCCAAATTTTAATTAATTAAATTTTTGTGACAGAACGAAAGGATATTTTTGAAAACGTATTCGGCAATATTGTTCTAAATTATGGCAGAAATCGATTGGTACATGTTTCAAGTCGCTAAGTGGTCTGGTTGCCGAGATATGTGCAAAAAACTGCATTTTTTCGAGGTTTTTTGGTTTTTCCGGGAAATCCATGAAAGAAACCCGGAATTTTTATGGCCTATGTTCATCTTCGTAACTTGTTTAACATAATTGCTTTTGGAACTAGTCCTCGATATTGCTTCGTTAAGGAGGAGATTCGACTTAAAGCTGCGGACACACATTCATCCATCCATTCATCCATCCAGAAATGACGGGTTAATTAACGCAATTCTCCAGAATGGAAATTGCGCTAAAAAAAAATTAAGTTTTATACTTGGGTTTAATAAATCACTACGTGTAAATTGTCTATCAATTACCCTTTTGCATGCTTTTATTTAACTTGCTTTCTCTGTCAGCCGTCAGTCTGTCTTAATCCTAAGTCGAATGGGCACTTCTAACCGATCAAGTTCACTGAAAGTCGACACGTTGGTCAAGGCCCGATGACAATGCAATATGACATTAAATTTTCTACAAATAAATGCGTGCTTTTCTTTAAAGTTTTAATGCATTATTAACGTAAATACTTGTCACTAAAACGTTTTTTATTCAATTATACTTGCTTCCTCTGTCTAGATCGAAATGAGCGAACGAAATTTTGGGCACTTCTAACTGACGGACAGTTCAAACTTGGCAAGAAGGGAAAAAATGTATATATATATATATATATATATATATATATATATATATATATATATATATATATATATATATATATATATATATATATATATATATATATATGGGTGTGTGTGTGTGTGTGTGTTGGCTTCTACTCTATCGTTGATTCTTAAGTAAGCATGTTAGGTTGTACTCTATGGTTGATTCTTAAGTAAGCCTGTTGGTTGGTTATGTTATTGCTGTTCACGTGTTGCTTGTTTTTTTGTAATTATTTTGTTGTTTTGTTTGGTCGTAGCTGGGTCGGGGTAATGTTTCCCCAACCCATAGACCATAAGATGCCGCCCGGTTCTCAAGACACGGGGATCTGTCTTAGGGTCAACAGATAATTTATGAGCATTCGCAGCCGTGGACTGCGGCCGGAGATCAGCTTGACCGGACCCTAGGTGTGAGCATGCTTTTGTGTTCGTTTTAATAGCCTCGCCAGCCCAAAGACGTCTTTTTAGTTTATGGACGAAGGGCCATTACCTGGATCAGATCGAGTCCAACAGGTCAGTCTATATATGAGGAAGCGTGGATATGGTGAGGTCTCTTACACACATAGCTAGGCCTAGAGGCTAGTCGAGGCCTTAAAGTGGCAGCCTTAGGGCTGGCAGCGAAGACTGGCTTAGTGGCCCAGCTGATTTATTGTTAATATGGCTTGGTATTTACACCAGCGGCCAAACGTCTTGTTCTTGTAGATATATGATTCGTTCCTGTGGCCTTTATTGTTAAGGGGATATGCGCGGAAAAAAATCACAAAATTTCTTGTTTTTCGTCATGTTGGGTTTCTTGCACTTTTGTGTACTTTGTCCATTTTTTAATAAGGAAAATGATAACTT